AGACCGACGAAATAGGGAAACATGTTTTTCGTAATCTAGGGACCCTCAAACGTGAAAATCTGAAATAATCTCGGAAGGTGACTTTTTCACGATTATAATACATCCCTTTTACAGAGGGTAGTAAAAAACGAAGAGATAATCCTTTTATATGAAATCATAATATACCTCGTAAAAAAATATTAAAATTCTATTATAGAGAAGTAAAGTGAAAATAATTAGTTGAGATCCGAAAAACTAAAGGCAATTTTGGAAATATTAAGAAAAAAAATCCCATATTTTCATAATTTAGTAGGGGAATTGAGGACTTCATTTTCATATTTCCAAAATTGCCTTCAGTTTTTCAAATCTCAACTGATGATTCTCACTTCACTTTTCTTTCATTATATTTTCACGTTTACGGATTACCATACTCGAATACTTAACACTAGTAAACGAATGAAGGATTTTAGAAATTTATAATATATAGATTATCGTCCTTCTACACGATGACATGGGAGTGGCTTTAAGGAGAATTAAAGGAGGTGAGAATTTGTATGTACCGACGAGAATCAGAAACTTCAAATCTACGATTTCTGATTTCAAAACATATGTGCTTTGATAGCTCAATTGGTAAGAGTATGGAAGGCTAAGAATCTTAATGATTTTAATAAAATAAATTCGCTGTGTAAAATAAATTATACAGCTTATTTGATTTGATTAAATCATCTGATTTTTTAATGGTTTGACTACAATGTAATTACTTAGGGTGAGAAGTTTTCAAATTGACATCACATATATTGATTATCTTTCTCTTTAAACTTATATTTTGTACCTGTATACTTTGATTATGAATATTCGTGATTTTTTATAAAATTGTTTTTTATTTCAAATTTATTCAATTATTATTCCAATGTAGGAACATGCCCATACATATTCAAATGTTTTGGTAATATTATAACCAATCATGAATCGGAAATGACTTTTGAGTTCTGTGTTTTGATTCAGTCATCGGATTATTTCAAATCAATTATATTTCCGCAAGTTCTTTTTCATGAGCAGGTACAATTTCAAAACTTTTTTCACTCATACTTATATTCGTACTTCTTCCGTTTTAAACAAACAACCTTCATGTCAATAAAAGAAAAGATAAAAGACTTATATCCTCATACTGATACTTATAGTTTTGTTTTTTATTAAGATCTTCATCTTTTAAAAGTCGTAAAATAAAAAGATACAGAAGAAATGTTGTAGTTCCAACTATATAGGAAAAACTGAGAGGATACTCAACATACGAGCTGGTGAATACATCAGATATCCAGATAAATCTACTTTTGGACATCATATTAAAATCAACAATCCTAATTTCACTCCTTCTGAGAATGTCACTGTTTTTCATAATATTTTTAATTGCAACTTTAAACTAAGTCTGCTCGAAGACCTTGAGATACACAGAGAGTTTAATAAAACAAATGTCACATGTGTTAACACTCAAATCCATCTCAATAGCAAAGTGCCTCCTCTCTTTAAAAGTATTGGCAACGGTTGGTCTGAAGTTACCTAGCCAGCTTCGCCTTGAATCTTCTTGCAGCGGAATTGATCTTGTCCTCTCCAGCGATTGCTGATTTCGTGGCCAGGACGGTTTTTCCTCCCCTTTTAGCTGGAAAAGCTGATCTGCCTGCGACTTCGGTTTCGCTGGGGTCAGCATGCTCAATTCTGTTGTTTTCAGCCTGGCACCTTTTAATTTCTAATAATTTTTATAAAAAAAATATGTTTTTTTACCTTCATTTACTGTATATTTTATAATTCTAATTAATGATTGTTTTGCTGTTTAAAATTTAAAAGTCCCACCATAACTTGATTTTGCTAGATCAGTGGTACCAACCCACTTTTATCATTTTCAATATCAACTTTTGATAATTTTTCACGAAATTCATTTCAATTTCTCAAGTTGGCAATTTTCTTGACAACTTCATTGTCAAATGTCAATTGTCACTCATTCTGTTTTGGTAAACTGTCAAGATGGTCACGTTCTTAAAAAAATCGTGTACTTATTTTTTGTACCTCAACTTGCCTCCGCCTCACGGCAGCAATTGGCAAAATCTGGCTGCCTTCATGTTGAAGACCTCTGAATGGCTTAGAGTGTGTGGTTCTTCGTGGTCGGATGAACCTCCACTTTATTTGTTAAAATTTAACCACATTTGCGGTGTGGTTCTTTTATTTTCAATTATTATCCAAGCTGCAAGCTATGGTGGAGACTTGGGACTGATCTGTTGCTGTCCTTTTTAATTTATTTCACTTTTCATGTTTCTTCTATAGTTTTTGACGAGTAAGTATACAAGTTTTTGTTTTTATTCAATGTTTAGTAATGTTACGAGTTGATTATATTGTTACAGCTTGGTTTTTTTCTCTTTTATAGAGTCTCTGATGATGGCCTAATAGGCCGAAAGCGCTTAGACAAATTTTACAGAGTTTTATTGAATAAAACTCAATTTTACACACTTTAAAATACTCTCGATTCATTTCTTAAAAATAATCGATTCCGAACTGGTTCATAAAGTCTTGGTTTTGCGCATGTTGTTCTGTGCAGTTATAAAATAATTCTAGAACCGCTATGATTTAGTAACCAAAACAAATTTAATATTTTTCACAGCCAGCAATATTAATAATTAAAACAACAGATTCTCTTTACAATTATTTTCTTATTAAATCCAAATAAATTGAGTAAAAACTATAAAAAATATGTTAGGTACCTACAGTTATTATGCAATAACTACTACGAATTACGACTAATTATTATCCAAGTCTTCTTTTTGATAACGATGTATCATTAAAATAAGATTCATTTCGTTAAAATTGTTGCGCAAACTTCTATATATGCGTGTTTTTCTCTTCAAGCCCTATTGTATAATACAGTGTGTCGCATTTAAAATGAAGACACCCCTATATTTTGTATATCTAAATAAATACAGATTTGAAGTTTTGCGCAATCATACAGGGTGATGGTTCACATTTTTTAAGATACTCAACTGAAATTTAAATTTTGAACGCGGCTAACTGTGAATCCACAAACAAGGTCAATTTTCGATATTTTTCTTCGCGTTAGAGATATCAGAAAAAGTTATTTGAAAAAGTTGTTCCGAATATTATTCTAACGACACATACCAAATTTCATGGCAAAATTCGCATTTTTAGTTTTTTCATTAGCTTGGTCAATACTTTTTCTATCTCTAACGCGAAGAAAAATATCGAAAATTGATCCTGTTTGTGGATTCGCAGAAGGCCGCGTTTAAAATTTAAATTTTAGTTGAGTATCTTGAAAAATGGGAACCATCACCCTGTATGACTGTGCGAAATTTCAAATCTGTATTTATTTAGATAGCCATCTTAAATGCGACACACTGTATATTCAAATAATGTTGACCTGTCCCACCTTCTAGACAAATTACTGCATACGTTCATGGTACATTTTCTACAATACTCAATATAAACTATTCCAAAATAATATCATTTATATGGTTTTACCTTAAAAGGTCTGTAGAAAATTCCCTCAAAAGCATATAACTTATAGCTAAGTCAAAACTTTTTTTTAAGAAATGTATTACAGTATAAAATCTGTCTGAAATTTTACCATCTAATATGAAAAATTACCTTTTCTATCCATTTTGTAACTCAAATTTTCAACGCAGGTACATGAAATCCAGATCAAAGATAAAAGTACATTTCCTCTATTATTGATATTTACGATGCAGTCTCTGTACGGTATTTTCGTTATATGAATATCCCAAACTGAGATGAATTTTACAGCCGTTTATTTTTTATGTTTTCGCGGACAAAACTCCGGAAATAAGCAACAGAAAAGCTTTATTCCAATTCTCTTTGTTCATTTCGTTGTGAATACTACGGTAATTAGAAAAGTTATGGCTAGTTTTTAGTTTGTCATTTCTTGTTGTCTATTGTACTTGTTCATCAAGTTTCTTTTGTAAAATAAACGGCAAACATTTATATTTATAATTAAATATATTATTTAATTATACATTGTGCTTCAATTTTTATGGCTAATAAATAAAAATCCCAGTACTTTGAAAGATAAAAATGAACCCATAATGGTGTAACCAGATTTGTTTCCTATTATTGACTTACTGTTCTAGAAGAAGAAATATGGGAAAAGTTTAAAAATAATACTATTGTTTTTTTTAGTCATGAAGATTTTGGAATTATTGGTTAACATCAGCAAAAAGACTCATACACCAAATTTAATTTGGAAAAAATAGTTTCAAGATATCTGTAAAAATGCTGTTTTTTTCTTCGAAACCTTCTAGATCTTAAGAATTATTGACTTATTATCTAAAAAATGTATTCTTAATTTTTATTTGTGCCTATTTAGTTGTTTAATTTCATATTTAGTAAGTAAATATTGTTACGCTGGTTTTTGGTATCACAAATTATTTGAACTCAACTTTTACAATAACTCAATTCAACTAATACAATAACTCTAACTCATAACATTCACATGTAACGTCTATCATAAAACTGAAACTTTGGCGCCAGGTCGTCGACTTATATAGCTCGCCGTGACCCCTTCTAAAACCTTCTCGAACAATCCAGACTTTTCTTTGACAAGGAATGACATTTCGAGAAATTTCTGGACTATTTTATCTTCTTCATTTACTCGTACCTTTACTTATGACGACCGCAGCACGCTACAGGATGCTGCGTAACATTGCTCCCTCCTCTCTAGTTATTCGCCCCGAATAACTTGATTACTGAGAGCTGGCTGGAGCCAATGGGGAGGATCTGGACCACGGTATGGCGCTAACTTTTTAATGTGAACTACCTTGGGTTTACTACCTGCTGACAACTGAATGTGGCAGATTAGGTCGTTGATTTTCCTTAAGGACGGAGTAGGGGCCTTCCCAGTTCCGTTGCGATTTCTGACGAAATCCTCCTCGCTGCTTGGGATTGCACAGCCATACCTTGTTGCCCCTCTCGAAATGTGTATCTGTGACACGTCTGTCGATTCCAGCTTCTGCTTTATCGGTGTGGGCTTTCAGTTGTTCCCGAGCGAATCCATAGACCTTTGTCCTGCCATTGCATACATAATATTTTTTACACAAATCCGCTACACCCCGTCGGCAATTGACCCAATAAAATCTTTCCCGAACTCGTGCCAGTGTCCTTTTAGTATCAAAGTGTCCTCCTGAACGGCTGCTATGAAGCTCTTCCAATACTTTTCTCACCTGTGACCTCAGCAGTATCACTTGGCGGACTACATGTACTCCATCTGGGCTTTCCCACTTCCGGTACAATAGGCCATCGTGAAGATACAAGGAATCCCACTGGGTCCAGTAGCCTTTTATAGTTCTACTGTATTTGGCTATCTCTTGCCAAGTAGGTGTGACTTTATTCTTGAGCCATTCTCGGACAACCTTTAAGTCATTGTCTTTCTTCTGTCCCTGTCTCAAGACTTTCAAGGGTGATTTCTTCTTCGTCGCCCTCTGGCTTGATAGTGGTGGCCCTAAGAGTAACTTTATCAACCGGTTCTTCTCGTTCTTTGAGCCTTTTACCATACCAGCATTGTTCCTCTAAACGGGGTTGTCCGAAGAGAATGTCTGCGTTGCTGTGGAGACCTCCTCGATGCTCCACTTTCTGGTTATTGTAAGAAAGCCGGCTCGGTTAGGTGATTGGTTTCTTCGGGACGCATAGTTGCTGTAATTAATTCCTGTTGGTCTTGATGATGGGCTTGGAAAGATTAATCTATATGATTTTCCGGTCTCATTCGCTGATTCTCGATTTATAGAATGAGCCGTGCTTCTACAGGTTCTTTGAAGGTGTCCGATTCTTCCGCAATTGAAGCATCTCCTGCTTCCATTTTGGATGTTTCGTGGCATATTTCTTAGGATATTTAAGATTTGGGGAATAGCATTAGTATTGGCCTCCTCGCTTTCCTGGCATTTAATTTCCCCCACTTTTGCGCGAGAAGATCTGGATAGAAGTTTTACCGCTTCATATTCCTGGGCTGCAATCAGTTTCTCCTTCAGCGTCTTGTGATGTTGTATACGAAGGACTGCATTTCCACATCTTGTAGTTCATCAATGAATGCTTGTATTCCGAGTTAATCTTGGAAATCTTTCGGCACCTGTAGCTAGGCCAGATGAATCAACCTTCTTATATCAGCCTCGAATTCCTGTAGATTCTGATTATGTTTCTGACTACGAACCTTTAACTGGCTTTGGAATACCCGTTGCAAATGCTGCTGGCCATATCTTGTCTCCAAAGCTTGGACGAGAGATGAATAATTGGGTTCCTTTTGAGTAAGTAACTGTAAAACGGTTGCTGCCGGACCTCGCAGTGACACTATCAATGAAGCCGCCATCTCTTTCTCGGTCCAGCCATTGGCTCTAGCTGTAGCTTCAAATTGGAAGCGATACGTTTCCCATGTTGTCTGACCGTCAAACGTGGGTGGCTTAATGATTTTGCTAGTATGGATTTGTGGATTCGCCTCCTTCTCTCTAGTCTTTATAGGTACCAATAAGAAGTAACTTTTCATAACGTATTATGTCCATCCGATGACAAAATTCTTTTTTTCACGGTTTTAGATTTGTTTTTACTTATATTATACTTCTATAAAGTCAGAATGAATCAAATATCGTAATATACCTATGTAATTTGAATGCAAAATATGAAGTTCACATCGAAACACATTATATAAAATATTCCTTTTCTGTGGTTTCTGAAAAAAAAAAAATGTATGGACAATGCGTAGCGTCCTTGCCACTTAACTACATTTTTACCTTTACCCAATTTATTTGATATATAATGAAAAAGACGGAAGAATAAACAACAAAATTTGATTTATTCGTAAAAAAATCTTTAATAAATAAATTATCCTGTGATTTCAGCGAACTCATTGTATATAATTTCCTAAATTTCCTATGTTTTTTCTATAAATTATTGTCCTTGAATATTCAAATAACCTTTTTTTATGAGCTCTTTACTTGATTTTCGATCGATCTTTTTATAATTAATTTTTTGTACTCTTCACTTGTCTTTTGATTTAAGGAATATTCTGATATATTTTCAAATATTGTATTTCAAAACAAATATAAAGCACAATGAATTGACGTTGTTATTAACCATTACATAAGATCCATCCCAAGTAACTTCCTAGGGGAAGAACTTTCATTTTATGTGACACAAAAACATTGGCAAAAATATAAGGTATGTACTACGAATAATATCCGAATATTATGATAGACACATAGAGATACCGTCAAAATATACAAAGTGTGCCAAATATCAAAACCATAATTGTAAGGCAGACTTTCAAAAAAAATTATAATTATGTACAATTACATTCGTAGTCTACGATAACTAATAACTCAAGATGGACTTTCATCATTCGGAAATTCAACCAAAAAGGCTTATATATGGCAACACTGCGTTCGCGCCATTTGTTCTAAGTGCTGCTTATTACTAAAATTATTGAATTTGAGACTCCAATAACTCTCAAAATATTTATTAAAAATAGTAACTGATGAAGGAGTTCTAACAATGACTTTTTGCTTAATGGTTTCTATATAAACACATACCGAAATTCTGACCAATGAATATACCTCATTGTCCAACTTCTTCTATTTCCCAGTGTCGACATGACCCAATTACTGACAGCCCGAGGCTGAGGAACAAGCGAGATACATCATCATGATACAGTTTTATAAAAAAAAACAATTCGAGTACTTTGAAATTCTTTCCGTAGACGGTCTCAAATGTACGAGCCCTAAATTTAAATACAAAACGTGATTACAGATTCAATGAATATAAAATGAGCTGTTTAAGTTTTTAGATGCGGTTATTCAACTGAAGAATAAGAAGAAAAAAAAAACAACATTCATAGTTATACAGCTACACTATATTCGCTTTGAATGCTCTTTAGATCTCTTTGATAAACCCTAAGAGAATCGTAAGTCGAGATGAATAAACTTGATTAAATGTTGTCTTCTTTTATATAGAACGTCGTAAAAAGTGCTTCCTGTTTATACAAAACGAAAAGTATCCTATATTAACAGCTTATAAATTTAAATATTATGAGTGGGTGTAAATCTTGTTAAATATAAATTATATTGTATTGCAATAAATAAAATATGTCAGTCAGATATTATATAAGAAAAATTTAATTAATTTTAGTTCCTTTAGATTTATTTAAGTAATTTATGGCTGCAAAAATATTGTGAAACTCTTAAGGATGTCATTAATTTCTAATAAGTTTGCATTTTAATAGGCTGCTCTCCTAACTGCTGAAGCAAATATTTTACACCGAAAACTAACAAGAAATTTTATGTTCTTCATTCTTATTCTAAGAGAAAAATTGTTATCAATTCTTATCAGCTTTGAAAAGATCTAAGTAAGTAGTTAAATGACAACCAAAAACCAATTCAATATCGATCTCTTCATACGTAATACTGATAACCAGATAATCAGTTATGTAGCTGGATTTGCAGGTAAACAAATTCTTGTGTAGAATCGATAAATAATAGAATTTTTATTTTTCGTCTATAATTATAAATAATTTGTTAATTTAAATAAAACTATATGAAGTCAATTTAATTAAGAGTATTAAAGCAAAAAAATAAACGCGTAGATGGTCCTGTGGTCAGCGTTCTTGTCTTCATTCGGAAGAGTCGAGTCCGAATCTCAGATGGAGAAAAATGAAGTGAAATTTGTTTTTCTTGTTTATCTTATTTTATAAATTAGTAAAAGTCATAAATTATTTTAAAAATTAATTATATTATCTTAATAACCTAAAATAATTTTTAATATTTGTAGATTTTTGTTAGTGGGTCGTAGAAAAAATATACTTATAACTCAAGTGGATTGTCCATATCCACTCTTGTTGCACAAACTACTATTCTTATCTTCATGAAAGATCAGCGGTGACTAAACCGAAATTTTCTTAAACATAAAAATATAAAAACTTTAATCACTTTTAATAAATAAAAACGCAGGAGATATAGGCATAGCTCAAAATTTATTTTCATCCGAGAATGTAAATTCCGACTTCTGTTTGGTACGAAAGCATAAAATGTGGTACTCGATGTGATATGTATGAGATATGAGACATGAAAGCCTACTGCATCTTCTGTGTCCGTCTATTTACAGATTTGGCTTAATTTTTTTTGGGTTTAGCGCAAAATGATAAAGAGCAACAGAAAAAAGACTACTCATATGAAGCGACAATAAGCGAGAGAAAGCAGAAGTAGGGCGTTTGTAATCCGACTATTCTTCACGAGTTCATAACGTGTGAAGGTAAAATAGATTCTGGTTTTCGTTTTATTTTTATTGTTTCTTAACCGTTTCTCTTTCAGGGTACCGTAGGGTACAAGGTGTAAAGGAGATAAGTGTTTTATTTTTATTTATTCTAGTATAGTGGCTACATGGCAGTGACCGCCTGGAATTATTTTTTTATCTCCACTGAGTTTACTTTGAGTACACTCTGGTGTACTTTAGGGTCGCAGAGCAAACTGCGATACTAAAACTGGCGCCTGAGCAACCTCTATTCGGGTATCACCATCATAGCGCCATACAGACTCGCTGATTCATTGTAGGTGAACCAGGAGCCCGTCACAGTACTTTTCAACCCTCTTCAAGGTTTGTATGCGAAAATGGGGCACCTAAACCTGTCACTATCTGACGGTCTATAACGATATCAGTTTTCAATGGATAAGGGGCCTATGAAAATTTATTTTTGAAAGAGTAAAACCAAATTTGGTAGATTTTCACACTTTTATTTTAAAAAATAAAACTTTTTTTCTTAAAAAAACACTAACATGACATATGTTTCGAAGTACAACTTCTTTTTCAAATGTGACTATTTACAATTCGGTATCCAATATATATACGAAATAATTTAACAAAACAAAGTACTTAAGAAAACATCAATAACATTACAAAATAAACTAACTATTTAAAGTAAATAAGGGTACTTAGGTAATTATAATATCCATCAGATAACAATAAGATAGCTCATTACCGGGATTATCTCACAGAAAACTGGGAAAGAGATTTAATAAGGGTGAATTATTAATATCTAATTGATCATTTAGTAAGTTATCTGAATTTTTAAATCTATTTATTTCAAGTGTTTCTAAATGGTTTAATTTAAGGCTCTTATTTTCTACATGTAAAATTTCAAAGTTGTCTGTAAAAGAATGATTTTCAGCTAAAATATGATTTGAGTAAGTAGAATTATTTTTGTTTTTTGTATTGTTATTATAATGTTCGGAATAGCGTTTTTTGAAAGTACGGCCTGTTTGACCAATATACAATTTTGGACAACTACCACAATTTAATTTATATACCCCCGATTTATTATTAGGATTAATTTTACCCTTATTGTTATTAATATACTTCCCAAGCGTATTATTGGTTTTAAAAGCTACGTTAATATTTTGGTTTTTTAAATATGATGATACCTTTTCACTAGGAGCTCCTATATATGTAAGACTCTTATATCTGCAATTTGGATCTTTAATTATGGGATAAACTTGTTGAATAGCCTGTTTAAAAAGTTTTTTCTCTAAAATGTTGTCTGTTTCCAAAGTATATGAGATTGAAAACTCATAACAGTACTCCAGGAGCGAAAAAAGGAAAAGAAGCAGGATTAAAGAAGTGCATGGTTGTCAGAAGACAAGAAAAAAGAATATTCCAAAAGAGATTGTTTCAACATATACACTAAGGTAATACATGCTGAATTATCTCACAGATTACATTTTATAGAATTTGAAATTGTAGATAAAAACATTAGGGAGCAGATTAGTCAAATTATTCATAAAAAATTTATTAGACAACAGGAAAAATTAAAATCACTTATTTTTAAAAAATCCATAATAACTAAACAAAAATCAGAACAGAACACAAATAAAATATCGGATCATACATATTTTAAAAGATTTGTTAACTTAACCACCACAAATTTCTCTGATCCAGAACAATCTCTAATAGAAAAAGGGTTTAAACACAACATCGAACCTAAGATAAATACTTCGAACTTAGAAATTTTGGGAATAGAAACAGAAATTGCTTTAAAAGATTCATATAATACTTTGTCTCACAAATATCATACTGCAAATATAATTAAAACACAATTTTTAAGTAATAACAATTCAAATCAAGACAGTAAGTTAAGTAAAACTATAAAGGATAAAACAAAACAGGATGATATCATTTTCACTCGTGCCGATAAGGGAAATACAGTAATTGCTATTAATAATATAGATTATATTGACAAAACT